TACACCCAGAAATCATTCCTAACAGGAAATCCAAACGCCACAACAAAACGGAAAGGAATCAAAAGAAGACGCTAAAACAACAAAGAACACAGCTACACGTATCGAATTCACCTCAAATCTCAATCACCATTGGGGAAAATCAAACCCAAAAGGACAAAAGGGCAAAATCAATAATGTGGAGCTCAAACACGGATGTAGATTCCTCCGTGAATAACGCAACATCAATCCAAAACATCAGATATTAATAAACAATCAAACAAAAACAAGAAACCCAGAAAGCAAACAAAAAAAACAAAAAAAAAAAGGATACCTGGAAGAATCAAGAACCAAATCCATCCATGAGAGGCGGAAAAAGAGAGAAGAAAGGGAGAGGAATGGAGGAAAAACAAAGGAGATGAAGAAGAAGAGGAAGAGAGAGAAAGTGAATTTGTAGAGAGAGGAAATCTAGAGAAAGACAGAGGAAGAGAGAAGAAAAACAGGGTTTTAGGCCAAAAAGAGAGAAAGAAAGAAAGAAAGAAAGAAATGTCTTCTCTCTCTCTCTCTCTCTCTACCTCTCTCTCTTTCTGCCCTATTAACTCCGAACCAATGACACGAAATTCCGGGCCATCCCCTCTCTATATTTATATCTATATATATATATTTTTCTATATTTTCCATTTTTTAACAATCTCTTTTAATTATTAAAATAATTTTTCTAATTTTTTTCTTTTAAATTTGGGTTTTGTTAAAATGACCTGTCAAATTCTCCAAACTCGAACAAAGGCAGCTCCAACGGGAGAATCAGTCTCTTCCTCCCCATGCCCTTCGGGCCCCACGTTATCCTACCTGGCACTTTTTCAAACACTGCGAAATCTCCATTTTCTCCTCCTATATTATTATTTTCTTTTTTTCTTTTTTTCTTTTTTTTAATTTGTAATTTTCACAAATTAAAAAAAATAAATTATTATATGTGGAGGAAGTGGGCCCATCTAATCTTAGACAACATGGCTGTTGAACCTACCTTCCTCATTTCCCTTGGTTACTCCAAATCTTCTCCTATTTATTTATTAATTAATTAATTATATATATTATAAGTTAAATTTAAAAAAAAAAAAACATTAATGAACTCGATGTTAGAGCTCATGCTGCACGAAATTGATAGCTCGTGAATTGACAGGAGATTCTGTAATGATTCGTACCCAAGATTCGGATTAGGATTCGATATTTGAATTGACACTTGATGATCCCGACATTCTCTTGCAATATCACTATATACTAATCAGAGTCTTTCATTTTCTATGGTTTATTATCCGAATGTTTTTTATATTTACTTTTTAATAATTTTTCTTTAATATGATTTTATAGTATTAAATATTTTATTTGAGAATCAATAATTTTAGATTCTTTTAATTTTTTTATTATAAAGTATTTTTTTTTTATTATTATTATCCAAGAGAGGGTAAGAATAAAGAAGCTTTTTAAATTTCATTTTTATTAAATAATTTTAAGAGATACAAGAAAGAAAAAAATTTAAGATTTTATTAGACAAATGTCGTTTTCGTAACCCATTTTAAAATTTTAAATATATATTTGAATGGGACACAATATCAAGTCATTTCAACATCGAAATAGATATTTAGCTTTACTTCAATCTTACTTGTCTTATTATTGTACAATTCCGTTCATCTAGACATCGTGGGTTAGGTGTAAATTTACATCTAGATTTATTTATTGCCTATTTTTATAGATTTATTAATACTTTAAAAATTAGTGTCACTGTTTTCTATGATCCTTACTCTCGAGAGCTCTAATAGTCCAAGAGAATGCCATATTAAAATTTCAGTCGAACGTAAGCCTCCAACTAGGTATATATCGATCTATATAAAAAAAAAAACGTCAATACCACTCATCGCAAATTTTGATTGCAAGAAGACATTTCACCAGGTTGATCGAGAAAAACCCACTTAATAGCTCATCATATAGTATAATGTTTGAAGTATTATTTTGGTCATCCCTACATATAATTATATATAAATTTTAATATTAGGTCAATAGTTGACTTTAAAATAAAGCCAATGGAGATATTAAGGATGCATAAATAAAGAACTATGGATGGTAAATTCATTTAAATATATAAAGTTTTGGTATGATAGTAACTTATTCTGTGATGCTAACTTGATTGGTTCAATCAAAATATCCAGCATTAAAAAAATTAAGTTCATAAAAATAAAATTAAAAGAACAAAAAAAAAAAAAAAAAAAAA